TTTAATTTAAAAATATTAATGAGTGATTGCCCTTTTTTAGTGGATACTTTTAAGATTAAGCTTCTCCAATATTATAATTGGAGTAATATGCACATGCCCTACCTGAAAGGCAATCACAAACACAGAGAACAGCACACAGTGTTTGTTTTATACTCCTAATGTTTCATTAGATGTTTGCTGGTTATGAATTATCTATCAGCTCAAACATAACTGTTAATTCTGAATTTGAACAGAACACTGCCCTGGAAAAAGAGGAAGAGAGGAAAAGGGACTGCTCCATGGTATCTTTTTAGTACATAAAATAAAGCCTTTTAAAATGGAGATTTTCAATAAAGTGGTTATTGATTAGCAGAAGGGATAGAGAAGAAAATGTGGTTTCTCAGTGCTGTCTCAAACAAAAGCAGGTGTAACCCCTCTCACCAGGCTGGCTCAGCCCCTCTCCTTTCCAAGCTGGGCAGAGTCAGGTGCCAAGAGTTGTTCCTGGGGGATTGTCCTGTATCTTTATCTTATTCATGACTTATACCTTGGGCAGTCTTATTTTTAAAGTTGGAAAAGTGGTTCTGCTGTTGATTCTATTGCCTGCATAAATTGATATTTGACTATGACATGGGTTCCTTAAAGACTAAAATCTGTGAAGTTCTATTAAAAGCCAATGGATAATGCAGGGTTATTGCAGGAGGCAAGCCTGGCTTTCCAATGTCAAGAGACATTAAAAAAATAAATAAAAAGAAGATAGATGGTGTTGGTTTTCATCAGTTGTTCAAATGCAGATGTTTTAAACAATTTGAGTTGGTACTAATGAGTCTCACATTACCAGAACCTCACCAGCAGAATCTAAAAATTTGTATTTGAACTCTTTCATTGAAAGTTTCTATTTGGCAGAACAAAGTAATTGTTTGTCTCAAGCACAAAAATGCTGCTGAGAAGAAAGTGAAGCTGGTTTGGAATCTGCCAACTTAGGAATTCTTCTCCTCTGGATTCCATTCTATCTGAACCACCTTACTTTTTACATGGCTACATAATTTGGATCACAGCGTTGCTGAAGTTATTTAATGGCAAGAGTTCTCATGAAAAAAATCCCAACTTGCAGCCTTGTCACCCCACTGCTTTTCACAAGAGGTAATTATGAAAAGGAGGAGAATCTGCCAATCACAAGGGGGTTTTATAAGCTATGCCTTTTCCCATTGATTTTAATATAATATATATTTGCCTTTCTAAAATTAGGATTCCTTTTATCCAAAGGAATTAATGCTTGATAATAACTGGTGTGATTTTTTTTTTCTCCTCTCTAGTGTTCATAATGGCTTCTGGGCTTTTGGTTTACCCTTTTGGTTTCAACTCTGCTACTGTGAAGAGATTCTGTGAGAACTCAGACATCTACTATGCAGGAGACTGCCAGATTGGATGGGGGTACATGCTGGCAATTGTTGGGGTCATGTTGTCTGTCTTTTTACCATTCTTTGCAAAATATGCACCAAAAGAGCACATATCTCCAACTCCAATACCTACTATTTTATAGTATTTGATTACTATTTAAGAACAGAACATTCCTGTCTACACTAATGGCAGAATTCTTGAAGCACTTCCAGTTGGCTGTGTTGCTAAAGAGAGGAGAGGAGATGGGGAGAGAAGGTCAGATTGACAAAGACCAAAAGTGCATTGAAAGTCTTCCGTAAGCAGGAGCAGCAACGCTCTGGAATTGAGATAGGATTAATCAGCAGCTTTACCCTGCTCTAAACAGATCCTGGCATACTGCCTTAGACAAAAAAAGAATCAGTTTATCCTCAAAACATCTGTCTACCTCCCAGTTTCTTTTGTGTCTCAAATTTGTGAGTTTTAAAAGCTTCAATTCACTTTTGATATATTGTGAAATGTCAGAACTTTTATGAACCCAGTAACTTTAAAATCAATAATGATATTTTGTTACAATTATTTTGATTAGTGAAAAAGCACCTAGGAGTAGCCACAGCCTAAAATTAGGATTGATAGCTAAAAATCTGTATACAAGAAAAGTTTCTTTTTAATCTATGTATATTAGCAGCACCGGCATATTGTAAATTCTGGGCACAGCTTTTACTTCTGCTCTAATTGCCAAGATATAGAGACATCTTCATGAAGTCTTGGGTAAAATTGAAATTTCTTTTTTTCTGAGAACTTCAACTACTTCCAAAGGCTTCATGATGATTTAATACTTTAACAACAGGAAAAAAAATCCCTAAGAATTTGTTCTCAGTATTTCTTAAATTATAATTCTAACTGGACTTTAACAAAATGTTTTGAAATATGACAGCTATAGACTTTGGGTTTTGTTGTTTAAGGCTGAAAATAAAAATCTCTGTTTACAAAAATGTCTGTGCCCAATGGCCCTTATCTGCAGTGATAATACAAGGCAGAATGAACTAATTCCAGTACTTCCATTGCAATGGAGAGCCCAGATTGTAAAACAAAAAAGTGAAGTGAAATGCTATTGAACATGACCAGCAAAAATCTGATGCTGTGTCAGAGTAGCAATGGCCATATTTCATTAGTCTGTATGGAAATTCTGTGAGGTCTGATTGCCACAATAGCACTGAATTCATTCTTATCAAGCATTGAAATAAGTGCACTTGATTGCCTTAAGCAAAAGAAACATTGGGTTCTAATCTCACACCACTGTTGTGTTTTTTTTCATTTAAAATAAAATTTTAATTCTAATTCTATTCTCATCTTTTATTTTCTATTATTTATTAAAAAGAAAAATCACATAGATTATATTTAATTCAGAGGTGTACTTCTTAGTTTTGTATTTTGGCACAAACCAGGTGATCAAATTTATTATTCTTCACTTAGCTGAGTCCAACTGATTCCTGAGTTTTTATTTTTTTTAATGGAAGGTGTACATGAAGGGACAGACAGAGACATGTTGAGGATGTATAAGAAAATGCAAACAGAACAATCACTGTGTTATTTTAATACACATCAAAGACTTCTGCAGTCTTGTTTACATTCCTCCCCCTTCTAAACTTCAATGGAACATTGCATTGTTTTCCAAAATAATTGTCCTGTTCTTACATTTCCATGCACTCTAAGAGCAATTTCTGCACATAAACTTAGCAAGTTCTTTGAAAATGCAGATTCCAATGCAGGATTAAGTACACTGAGAAAGAGAGCATGAGTGCTCTGCACCTTTGCTCACAGGGACTGAGAAATCAAATCTTCCACATATTTAACAAAAAAGGCTGAAGGAATGCCCTAAAGTAAGAAGAATAAATTTCAGTCACTTCTGTATATTAATGTGCTTTTCAGTGATGTCTTACACTTTTTTTTAATGAATGGCTGAGATTGATAATTTCCATGTGAGAGTCAGAAAAGTGAGGAATAACAAACAACATGCAAAAAGAAAAGAATCACCACATAGTAGAAAGACAGAGATGCAGGCTTTTCTTTCCTAACCAACCTGTGCCTTTACACTAGAACCATTATACAAGACAGGATCAATATGGTCAAGAAAAAAAATCACCCAACAACTGAAAAATGTTGAGTAGTGTGTATAAACTGTATTGAGTAGGGTTTTTTCTGTTTTGTGTAATGTTTACGACTGTTCACTTAATGTTTCACTAGAAAAAGTGATTTGTTAGTGTCAAATAGAAACTTCTTTTGCAAAGATCTAAACACTTCCTGAAAAGAAAAATGAATTTAGATTTTTATTAACAGCCATAACATACCTAGTAGACAAAAGGACCTACTCCTGTCATTACTTATTAACCTAAGTTTCACATGTGCAAAACTGGAAGCATCAATCACAAAACTGGAAGCAATTTTAAATTACTGTTACAGCAGAGTCTCCCAATTCACAACACTGCTGTACCAAATCCTTGACTTCTTAAAGCTCAACTTCAATCATCAACCTCTGCATCCTGCAAAATTCTGCACCTTGTATGAGTCAAGCTAATGCTTCCATTAGCAGCTTCCTTTAACATTTTATAACATTTTTATAATATTTAAATAAATCAAACACGTGTACATGACCTCTACAACTGGCAAAACCCTCCTGGAGGCATCCATGCTCTGAGCCCTCCTGACAGTGCAGGTGAGGTGATAATTCCAGTGATCCTTGCAGCAGCTGGTAAAGCACATCCTGTAGATCTCACCTGCTGCTGGCAATGCCTGTGCTCACACTGACAGATCACTTTTTTCAATAAAGACTGTTTGCACGTTAAACTGTGTAAAAGCGTTTTCCTGTTACAATTTGCTGGACCAGGTTCAAGTTTTATTCTAAATATATAATTTTTTAAGTGTAACTAAAAGCTGTATTTTCCATTACTGTGTTTCTGCGTTGACTAGCTGGCTCCTTTTTAGAATATTAACTGTTTTCTGTATTTGACTTGTTGGATACAATATTTCAATTATTTTAAATGTGAAATTTCCAATTGCCAACACTGTATAATAAAATAATTTTAAAAATCCCCATACTGTTTGCTATTTTCTTGACAACTCTTTTGTTTTGCAATTCCCAAGAGATCTGCTACAAAGCTTCTGAAGTAGGGGAAAAGGAAATAGGAACAGCAGGAATAACCTATGAAAGGTAATGTTTGAAGGCAAAGGCACATAAACATGTACATGGTCCATCTGTCATGAAAGATATTTCCATGGCCAAGGCAAGGAAGTTCTGTGTTCTAATAATTCTTTCCTTTCTACTTCCTCTGTGTCCTTGGGAATCTTCCTACAGCCTCAGGGTTTGTTGTTATTTTATACAGGTATTATACTGATTGTTTATTTTTTTCAAAAGAACACGAATCAGGTAACACATAAATGGGAAGCCAATGAACACAACACAGCATTTGCTGGATAACACAGCACAGTGATATTTATATAACCAGATTTTATATATATATATATATATATATATATATATATGTTTATATAACCGGATTTTCAGTGGTAGTTTTGGTAAATGTTGTAGCATGTCCAGCCTTTATGGGTAACAGTTAAATCTGGGGTTTGGACAACCATTTTGACTTTTACATTTCATTCATAGTTTTTACATATGCTGTCATCTCAACATCTGCAATTTTAACAAAGTCTTGGAAAGTGTTCTGTTCTGGAGCACTTGCTGGTCTTACAGAGACGCACTTGAAAATGTTCTTTTTTGCATCATAGGTTCCCATGCACCTGTGCACTCGACCTCTAATGAGTCGTGGAAGCTCCCGGTCCTTCATCAAAGCACAACAAACACAGCAATTACATCACCTGACAGAAGGGCTCTCCACATGGCTGCTTCTGAGGGCTGCATCAACAGAAAACCTCTACACCAGCTTTTCTCCTGTTAGCAGCTACTCACAAACTAAACTCCAAATCTCACCTGGTTTTCTGAAACACAAGTCTCAGGATGCCTAAGTAGTAACTATTGCTCTAAATTTGGAACATTGTGATAAAAACATTCAGTCTGCCTTTTGCTCTGGGAATTTATGTTTTCTTTGAAAAGGATTGGAGCTAGTGGTGTTATGTGTGGACACAGAATACTCACAATTTCATAAAACACACAAGGCAGGGTCTCCTTTCCATCTCTCAGAAGAAAGTTCTTTGCTCCATATGCTCCAGGTGTGACTGCAGAATCCAGTGTGCCTGTCCCATTAAGCAAAACTTAATCATTCCAAGACTAATTATATTAAAAAATTTTGTAAAACTGTATCACTCTACAGAAGATTCCAGTGTGCCTGTCCCATTAAGCAAAAATTAATCATTCCAAGACTAATTATATTAAAAAATTTTGTAAAACTGTATCACTCCACAGAAGATTCCTGCTAAACAGGAAAATTTATTCTTAAAACAAGGAAAGGAAAGAAACACGATAGAAAAACTTGATGTTGGAGGATGACTGAAGTGTTAATTTTGTACCTGTTTCAGTCACCTTTGAGAGCTGAATGGAAGGGAAATTAGATGGTGTTCATGCCAGCATTTTGTGGTTTAAGTATTTCAGCTATTGCAAAATTCTGACTTGTTGTTGCCCTAGCATTATGATCAGATTATATTATTATAATCTACAATGCTTACCTAAAACTTCAAACAGCAGTGCAGTCTTATAGGCATACTGGCTCCAGTGCCTCACACTCTGAATGACTGCAGACAGGATTCGCAAAGAATTCTTCTTTATTTTAGTTTTCACTTGAGATGATGGAATTTCCTTTCAGATGAAGACAAAAGCTTAAGTTAGACATACACACTTGCAATTTCAAAGGGCACACAGGCATTTATTTATTATGTTGAACAGGTGATAATTACATTAAAATTAGAGCATTTGTTCAGAATATACAAAAAACTCCCTGCCAGTTTACTGAGGATTTTAGATTATTACAGTATGAAAATCTCAATTCTAAATTTCAAGAAACTCCAGGTTTTACTAAGGCACCTTGGGCTGATGAAAACCTCATCATCTTCCACCAGATTTCCTTCTTTACTGCTTTCTTCATTATGTCTTTCCTATTAACCCTGCCCATAAGTTTTACCTGACTTTTATCTTCTGGGACACAACCAAATTGGTTTTCATTCATTTTCTTTTGCTGAGTATTGTAGTTAAATTTATATGCTGGACCATGATCCTGCAGACTTCTTGCCACAGTGTTGGGTTTCACTGGGCACTTTCCTTTGGATGTGTCTGTTTTGATGAGCTGGGATGGGTTATGACTGGCAGGATGGTTTTGCTGCTGGACAGTTTTCAAACTGCTTGGAAAGTTCTCAAACTTCTGAGAAGTTCCATTATCAGATCTTGAATTTGCTGTTTTACCTAAAGGAGTGTATTCATTTCTGTTCCTGCAATACAACAGTTCAGTATCACAGTAGCTCTTCGGAATACTGAGCTATGTGATTACAGTATATAAAAGCAATCCACAAATTGTTGATTTAGCTTTAAATATATCCAAACTCACTTGAGTTTACACCAAATTTATCCATGTACAGGGCAGTGATTACACCTGTGCATAAATCTATCTGACTTCAACAGACCTTAAAACCTGCTCAGTTATTGTCCTGCCCTGTCTAACAGATCTTTCCTGACCCAAAATTCACATATTTTCATAACTTTAAAATAAAATAAACAAGGTTTCCTCTGAGAGTGAGATTAAAAGGGTTTCTTTAACTGCTACAGGCATATGGGAAAATGTGAGATGCATTTTCACATAAGAACAAAAAGGAAGGGTAACAGACATTAAAGGCTTCACCAACCTGCAGGCAGACACGTTTTTCCCAGCATTTGCTAAATTAAACTTTGATGCATTTGGTGCTTTCATAAGGGAAGGAGCCATCGGATGTTCTGCTTGGCTTTCAAAGACAAGTTTAAAGAATCAGTGACACAGCAGCAGCTTTATTGTGAGACACACATGGATTGTTCAGGAAACAGTTAACATCCAAATAAAAATCAAAAAAGCAACAGATAACTTGCTTTTTACATACCCACTGTTTGCTGCTTTCTGCAGTTCATCCACTTCTGGGTTTGCAGCTCCCCAACCTAATTTTCAAAAGACAAAGGACTGAATATTGATAAAAATGGAAAAGACTAAAAGGTAGTAAGTATTTGTAGGCTTCCAATTCTGCTTAAAGTCCCACAAACAGGCTCATATGGGAAGGAGGAAGAAAAAAGAAATAAGGGAAATGTGATCCTTTGATATTTGTAACTATAAGACAACTTCTAACAAGTAGGTTGCTTCTCTAGACAATAGTTCAGTTACAAACATTAGACTTATTAGCAACAGAGATTTTATTATAAGAAAACTTTGAAACTTTATTACAAGTAAAACATAATGAGAGCATTAAAGCAGAGCTCTGCACCGTTCTTTCCAAGCCCAATTTGAAGAACAGAAGTTCCTTTCTGAACTACAAGAAAGACATCTTACAAATGTTTCTTCTTGTAACACAGGACTTGAATGTTGATTGAAATCAACTGAAAACAAAAGGTCAGTTTCAAGAGACTCCATTTAAATGCCAGTGCTACTTCATTCTCCATCACACAATGAGTCAAACTCCCTCTAGGCAAGAAGTATAAAAAGCTCAATTGTACAGAGGAGAAAGAAATTTCCTGGAGGACAATTTTTACATAATGAACTTTTCAGAAATAGATATAAAGGATGCATATAGTTCTTGATAAAGACAATGCCTGATTTCATAGAATACAATTAGTAAGCTAAGATTTATTTGGATTTAGAGGCAGTAAAAAAAAAAAAAAGTCTTATTTACCGAATGATGGAGAGAAGTCATAACTATGAGTCCCAGAACCAGTGCCTGGTTCATTTTTAAGTGGATTTGAAGTGAGGGGCTGTCTAGTTCTTTTTTTCTGATTGAACAGTGGTACAGGCAGACAACCTAAAATTAAAATTTAAGTAATGCTATATTAATAGCAAAAGGATACACAACCTATACTTAAAACAAGTAAATAAAATTACTTAATTATTTTACATTACACATAGGAATTGCATTTAATAAACACATAAAAGGCCCTTCCCTCGCAGAATTTATGTTCCCAACCCTCTGTCCTGCACATAATCCCTTTAATGAAACCTTTCCCTCAGTGACCAGTTCCCTGAATCCATCTAAAATCTCACCCTGTGCTGCAATAAACAGGTAACCCATTCAAATCCATTCAGGAAATGGGGATTTAGGGCCAAATACGGAATATCCTGTATGGATACTACATACATAAATGCATTTAATGTGTCTATAAAAGCATAATGAGGTGTGAACAGGAGAGCACGTAAGAAGGGCTGGTACCTGCTGTGCTCCGAGCCGGTGTGTCAGCTAAACTCCTTTTCATTTCTTTGCTGAATCCTAACAGGCAGCAATGTATTGATTTCTCCAAATCTGCTGTATGGAAGTCAGATAAACAAAGCAAAATAATTAATGCTGCAAACACATCCAAATTTCACATGATTTTATGGCAGTTTCTCTTAACACTACAGCGCCAGCGACTGGCATAATTTCAAACACAAGCCCTAAAACACAGAATCAGCCGTAGTGAATTTAGAAGATCCACAGGTGCACGCCTAAGATGCAATCATATTCGAGGCCCTGAGGGAGTGGCGCTGAGGGTCAGGGCCATGTTGAGAGTCAGCGCTTACCGGGCTGAGGGTGAGCCCTGACGGTTCAGCCGTGAGGGACGGGGCTGAGGGTCAGCCCTGACGGTTCAGCCGTGAGGGACGGAGCAGAGGGTCAGCCCTCAGGGTCAGCCCTGACGGTTCAGCCGTGAGGGACGGGGCTGAGGGTCAGCCCTCAGGGTCAGCCCTGACGGTTCAGCTGTGAGGGACGGAGCTGAGGGTCAGCCCTCAGGGTCAGCCCTGACGGTTCAGCTGTGAGGGACGGATCTGAGGGTCAGCCCTCAGGGTCAGCCCTCAGGTGAAGCCCTGAGGCGAAGCCCGCCAAAACTAACGGTCACTCGTCCGCGCGCTCGCGCCTCAGGCGGTGCGGAAATGGCGGGAAGGTGAAGCCCCGTTCCCAGCCGCTGAGGGCACGGAGGGAGCGGCCGCGCCCGGCTGGAGACACAAGAACCCTTTAATTGCCCCCTCAGTGAGATTTCATTAATTACCCCCGCCCCCGAGGAACCCGTGTAGTGTCACCCTCAGAAAGCCTGGGGTAGGAGCTGAATCTGCAGAAGTGTGTGGACGCAAACGTGGCTGTAAACAAAACTAAAAGCATTCTTCGTTCTGATTGTCTCTTCAGCTTTTACACATGGTTGGATCCTGCCTAAAATCTGAGTGCTTGGCACGACTGGATCTTGTCCTGTTTTGGTAAATCTTTTCCTTCAGAAGCGCTCCCAAAGATCTGTATGTAGAACATCAAACCAATCCGGATTCTTACTAAACTAAATATCCCACATCCTTTTTCAGAGTGTGAGTATTGGCAAAGCACAGGAATAAGGGATGGGTCCCAGTGTTTAACCCTGAAGAGTGAAAAGTTTCCATGTGAATTTCCATTCAGTTCCAAATTGGCAGGTCCTGGGACACCAGGAGTTAAAGGGTTTGGATGGGAACTCCTTTAAGGGGATAAAAGAAGCTTCCATGGGTTTAGTTCCTAAACTCATGTTTGGAAATTCACTGTCTCTGTCCTAAAAACTCTCTTAGGAGACAAACTTCTTGCATGTTAATTAAGTGCACAGACATCTCTGTGTTTCATTCAGTGCTTTGGAAGGAATTACAACCATTACAATGCCAGCAGGAATAAAAGATAAACTAAATGTTCCAGCCCTGCATGTTTGCATTTTGCCGTTTACTCTTCAAACTTCTACTGTGTTTAAATTCAACAAACCCAGATTCAGAGTGTGAGTTGTGGTTTTGGGTGTTGTCACTCCCCATTCTGGCACCACCGCTAAAGAGAGACAGGGGTCAAAGGACAGTACACACTGTCCAGTGCTGTAAAATGCAACTTCACTGCTTTGTTTAATAAATTACTTGTTCTGATTAAATATCTGACAGCTCCTAAGTACAGAGTAATACAGTTGAGTATTTAAGCAAACAGTCTCTCTGTATTAACTCACTGTAAGCTTCAGCAAAATCTGAATGTGTGAACCGAAACATAGAGAGCAACTTCTGTAGAAATTATATTCCTGGCAGAACTATTTTAGATAAATCCTGTGCTCAGCTTTTCCTAGACCTACAGTCTGTCAGCCTGGGATATAAAGCCTTTCAGGCACTGGCCAAATATTCTCTCAGTCACTGGAGTATAATCCTAATAAAAAAGAATTGTTCAATAAACATTCTTTATTCTCTTGCAATTGAATATGTTATGTTTATATCATGAGTCATATACCAATTGCAAATACTTCTGTCATTTACAGCAATAAAGCTTATTTTTCTGTTAATAAGTCCTTTTATTCTAAATGTTTTGATTCTCAGGATGGAAGTTACAGCTGGTCTTTGGCTTAAGCTTCAGAAGCCTTTCTGAAGAAAAGTTGCTGACTAAAGTTTTTTGGGGAGGGAACAGAACTATTGTCCCATCGTGGTCTAGATCTGTTTCCTTTTTAATAAAAGACTGCAAAAGTTAGAGGGCTGTCCCTGGCAAAGTTGTTTCAATGTGTTAGAGGTCTGTGTTAGCAGATCCCAAGATAGAACTGGAGCCAGAACTCTGGGTAAGTCAGTCGTGGATAAATTGCACTGTAATTTCAGCTCATGTTCCTTCTAATCACTGTTTGTAGGATTTCTAAAACAAAAAGGCACGACGTGCATTGAGGACCTTAGCTGTTCTTTGGCTTTTTTTAGATGAAAATACTTGATGTTTCAGCATTGTGTGCTGGACTAGAGCCAAGTTATGATTCTTATTTTGCTGATTTTGCTCACTTTAAATCATTCTGCCCTTTTATAATACTTATGTAACTTCAAACATACATGAGAATACCTGTTACACCTATTTGCAGCGCAAAAATGCCTGATATTTAAGTGTAAAACCAGCATTTTCCACTGTTCATTAGCACAGGATTTCCCTATAGATCATGCATTATAAAGACTGCCCAGAGTTAACTTTTGGACTGTGGAACAGTGCCATTAACAGCCTCGGAGATGTTACTAAATACAGAAACTGAAGGGGAGGCTCCTTGGGGAGGGAGGTTGGAAAATCCCGCCTCAAAACTGAGTTGAGAACTGTTGGGAGAAATCCACTCACTTTCTTTTGCGTCTGACCTAACCAGAAGAAAGACTCTCCTACTGGAAAGAATTTTTAATTTATTTTTTTTTTCCCCCTTCAGAGAGAAAAGCTTTCCTCGAGCATGAGCTCCCCGTGTGCCCGGGTGAGCCGGGTCGGGCTCTTCGGGGGCACTCACGGCAATGAATTGTCGGGGGTGCTGCTGGTCAGGCACTGGCAGCAGCATGGAGCTGAGATCCAGAGGGCAGGAGTGCAGGTGAAGCCATTCCTCACCAACCCCAGGGCTGTGGAGAGGGGCACCAGGTACATTGACTGTGATCTCAACCGGGTTTTTGACCCCGAGAGCCTTGGGTAAGAGCAGTTGTGCTTTCTGTTGTTCTGCTTTTTCTGGGTTTTAAAATTCTTTCCTGATTAAAATGTTGAACACAAGTTCCCCTGCTACTTTAACAGTGCAGTCACATAACTGAAATTACTGACCTTTAACCCAAAAAAAGAACAAATTGCATGTGTTAACAGACTCACTTCTATTGCTGGTACAATCAGTCTCAAACCAACACATGATCTTAAACATAATCTTAAATTAGTATTAGATGAGCTGCATTTGTGTGAATTGGAGTACCACTGTTCTGAGTCAGAGTCATCATTTCTCATGTCTTGTGCAATTCAGTTTGGGAGCTCTTCTGAATACAATTATATTTCCAAGAAATAGCAGATAAAAGCAATTAAACATGGACACCTGAGTATCTGAAAGAATGGCACAGAAATCAGAGAAGTGTGTTAATTCCAGCTATGTACAGCAAAAGGTGAAAACTTGAAATTAGAAAAAGTTGAAGCTGGAAATAATCTATTCTAGGTAAAAGCATAGCCAAAAACCTGAATAATTTAACTGACTCATTACTTTAAAAGAAGTACTGTCTATAATTACTGTAAATAGTAACTGATTTTACATTTTTAATAGGATTTGATGTTTCTGTGCTTTTGAGACATCTATTCCAGAGGTTTACTTTGCTATATAAACATTCTTAGTATAGCTGCTCACCAGGTAATTCTGTTTCAGAAAAGTTTTAATGGCAAAGGTGAATATCACAGAAAGGAATACTTACTGAGTATATTTTGCAGGCAGTTATTCTTATCCTACACTTCTTTCCATCTGGCTTTTCATCTTAGAATTTTGTTGTTGATTATTACATCTAAGATAAGCAGATGTTAGCACATAAGTATTGAGGCCATTCTTATAATTGTTTATTTTGGAAAAACATAAAAAAAAAAAGGTAGTTTTGTTTGGTTTCAACTGCTTTGAACACAGAACACTTGAAAAAAACACAAGATTAAGACACCTGCAGATTTCCTTCATATTTAGCTGCTATTTCTCAGTAAAGACTACGAATTTGCCTGGTCCTATTTCAGCTCTACTGAGTGTTTGAAGTACCTGCCTCTGGTCCCTTAAGTGTAGAACCTTCAAAATTATAAATTATTTTACAAAATAAGAAAAAGGAGAGTGAAATTTTGATGCTACTGAAAGCAATGGTGTAAATCTCATTAGCTTCAATAAAAAAGTATTAATTAACAGTTTTATGTGAAGAAATGTTGAATTTCAAAGGCAGAGCTAAAGAATAGAGAGGTGGATTATATGATACACAGAGTCTCCTGAAATTACAAGGATTAAAACTTTGGAGGAACAGATTGGAGGTAGCAAAATCTTCACTGAGCTTTAAGAAGGAATAGACTGTGAAAATCTGGTCAGATCATGAGAGGATAAGAAATAAAACAAGTTAGAAAAAGCCTTGAGGGTGATGTCCAAGGCAAAACATCATGGACTGATGTCTGAATCTGGTCTCCAGCAGGAGAGGGATCCAGTCTTGGAAGTGCTTTATGGTGTTGCTAAATTTTTAGTTAATTTTATGCATAGTGGGAAATTTTGGGATGTAAGGAGAAATATTTTCCAGCCAAACTTTGATTAAATAATTCCAATACCCTTCTGCACAAGACACAGAATAATAAAACAAGTACTAGACAATCATACTTGATTTCTTCAAAAAAATCAGCCAATTTTAAGTCTGGTAATTAAACAGGTGATTTCAACTCCAGTCAATTTTGGATTTAAAGTAAAAAGAAAAGGCTAATACATATTTTGTTGACTGTAAAGCCATGGAATGAGCTCACTAATTTCTTTGTGCTGATATT